CATTCAAAGTGTGATAGCACTGAAAGCTGAAAATTGGCCTGGACAGGAAGGGGGTAAAAGTGTCAGGACTGGAAGTGGTTAAAAAGTAACACTGAACCTTGGGGTACACCACTGACAACCCTAGACCATTCAGAGTATGAATCATTAACCAATACTCTTTGAATACAATCTTTTAGCCAGTTTTCTATCCATTTACATACAAATTTTTCGAAGCCTGTAGACTTTACCTTACACATTAGCAGTATGTGGGAACTGTTTCAAACGCTTTCGCAAAATCCAAGTATGCCACGTCCATCGCCACCCCTCTGTCCAAGGTTTTGCTCACCTCCTCATAAAAAGAAAATCAGATTTGTTTGACAACTTCTGTGTTTCATGAATCCATGCTGTCTGTTGCTTAAAATATTTTTTTTCAGCAAGAATTCTATGTGGTCTTTTATTAAACTCTCCAGTATCTTCCCAAATATAGATGTTAGACTAACAGGTAAAGATTTTGACCCCTTTTTAAATATTGGCACCACATTGGCCTTACGCCAATCCAGTAGTACTATGCCAGTCATTAAAGAGTCCCTAAAAATTAGAAACAATGGCTTTGAAATGACAGAGCTCAATTATTTAAGGACCCGTGGGTGTATGCCATCCGGTCCAGGTACTTTATTCACCTTTATACTGTCTAAATATTTTTGGATCATATCAATTGTGAGCCAATGTGGACCATCTGGAGCTGTGTCAATACCCTGCCCATTATGGACAAGAGCTCCCCCATGCTCCTTTGTATATACAGAGCTGAAGAAGGTATTAAATAAATGTGCCTTCTCTTTGTCCCCAGTCACCCACTCTAGATTATTTTGTAAATGTGCAGTTCAGTTTTTGGGCACCAATTCACAAAAAGAACATTGGGTAACTGGAGAGAGTACAGAGAAGGGCAAATAAACTGATACGAGGCATGGAGGAGCTCAGCTATGAGGAAAGATTTGAGGAACTGAATTTATTCTCTCTTGAGAAGAGGAAATTAAGGGGGGATATGATCAACGTGTACAGTTGTGTTCAAAATAATAGCAGTGTGTTGAAAAAAGGGAATAAAGCTCAAAATCCTTCTAATAGCTTTTAATTCCATACACACAAATGCATTGGGAACACTACACATTCTATTCCAAATCAAAACATGAAGAAAAATATATCAAATGTGTGTTGTTCCTCTAAAAAAATTGAAGAAAAGTGAATATTAGACTGTTCAAAAAAATAGCAGTGTTTGTATTCTTCTTTACAAACTCAAACATTCACTATATAAACTGAAAAATGTTTGAAGATTTTGCTTTCCTTTGAATCACTTAATTAATATTTAGTTGTATAAGCACTGTTTCTGAGAACTGCTGTACATCAGTGTTGCATGGAGTCAACCAACTTCTGGCACCTGTGAACAGGTATTCCAGCCAAGGATGATTGGACTACATTCCACAGTTCTTCTCTATTTCTTGGTTGTGCCTCAGAAACTGCATTTTTGATGTCACCCCACAAGTTTTCTATTGGATTAAGATCCGGGGATTGGGCTGGCCACTCCATAACGTTAATCTTGTTGGTCTGGAACCAAGATGTTGCACGTTTACTGGTGTTTTTGGGGTCGTTGTCTTGTTGGAACACCCATTTCAAGGGCATTTCCTCTTCATCATAAGGCAGCATGACCTCTTCAAGTATTCTGATGTATTCAAACTGATCCATGATCCCTGGTATGCTATAAATAGGCCCAACACCATAGTATGAGAAACATCCCCATATCATGATGCTTGCACAACCATGCTTCACTGTCTTCACAGTGCACTGTGGCTTGAATTCAGTGTTTGGGGGTCATCTGACAAACTGTCTCCGGCCACTAGACCCAAAAAGAACAATCTTACTTTCATCAGTTCACAAAATGTTGCGCCATTTCTCTTTAGGCCAGTCAATGTGCTCTTTGGCAAATTGTAACCTCTTCAGCACATGTCTTTTTTTCAACAGTGGGACTTTGCAGGGGCTTCTTGCAGATAGCTTGGCTTTACATAGGCGTCTTCTAATTGTAACAGTACTCACAGGTAACTTTAGACCTTCTTTGATCTTCCTGGAGCTGATTGTTGGCTTAGTCCTTGCCATTTTGGCTATTCTTCTATCCATTAGAATGGTAGTTTTTTCGCTTTCTTCCACGTCTTTCAGGTTTTGGTTGCCATTTTAAAGCATTTGCGATCATTTTAGCTGAGCAGCCTATCATTTTCTGCACTTCTTTATATATTTTCCCCTCTCCAATCAACTTTTTAATCAAGGTACGCTGTTCTTCTGAACAATGTCTGGAATGACCCATTTTCCTCAGAATTTCAGAGAGAAATGCACTGTAACCAGCATGTACAACATTTTCTGCCTTCCTTCCTTAAATTAGGGCAATAATTGCCCCCTTTTTTTCAAAGAATGAATGACCTCACTAATAGAACTCCACACTGCTATTATTTTGAACATGCCCCTTTCAATTAGTGATTCAATTACACAGAATCAGCAGCATGCATGTCATGACTGTTGGGTCTGTTGGATTTCTATTACTCTACTACACCTGCTAGTAAATTATTTGCCATGTAGAAATATCATTTCTACCAAAAAACAGTGATTGATCAGGTTAGTGATGTCTGACTGCTATTATTTTGAACACAACTGTATAAATACATCAGTGGTTCATATAGTGAACTCAGTATAGAGCTATTCACCTTGTGGTCATCACAGAGGACAAGGGGGCACTCTTTACGTCTGAAGGAAAAGAAATTTAATCTCCAAACATGGAAAGGATTCTTCACAGAGAGAGCTGTGAAAATGTGGAATAGACTCCCTCAAGAGTTGGTTCTGGCCAGCTCAGTGGATTGCTTCAAAAAAGGCCTGGATTCTTTCTTAGATACACAGAATATAACTGGATACTAACATTCATAGGTAAAGTTGATCCAGGGAATATCCGATTGCCTCTCAAGGGATCAGGAAGGAATTTTTTTTTCCCTGCAGGAGCAAATTGGATCATGCTTTGCTGGTTTTTTTTTGTCATCCTCTGGATCAACTGTGGGTATAGGATTATAACTTTTTTTTTTTTCTATGGTTGAACTGGATGGACTTTTGTCTTTTTCAGCCAGACTAACTATGTAACCCAGTGGTGATTAAATATCACCAAAAGAAGGCTCTATTTGTATGAACAAAATGATAAAAATTAAATTTGGGTGCAGTGTTGCATGACATCGTAATTGTCAAAGTATGCCATCGCTGAAAATTGGCCTGCGCAGGAAGTGGGTGACAGTGCCCGGTATTGAAGTGGTTAATTGGACCCATACTAAAATGTGAACTTAAAGCGGAATTATACTCCCCTCCAATCCCACGATACGCTGTCCCGCAGCTCCCTGCCAGGCCGCTGACATCTTTGGGCGATCTGCTTCTGGGTTCCAAACACCAGCTGCTGTCATTAGATGGGTGGGGATGACGTAATTCCCATGCATGTGCAGAAGTTTCTGTCAAATTATGCAGGTAGCTTACGGCCTGGTTCACATCTATGCCTGTTGCAATCAGCTGTGAGAAAAAAAAAAGTCCCTGACCCTATCCAAGCGGCTAAAAACACATAGATGTGAACATGTTCCATAGAAAACCCTGTTAAATGGACTGTAGTGAGTTTCTGCAAAAAACACTAAAACGCATTGGTGTGAACCAGGCTTTAATGCAGAAAAGACAAAGCATGTCTCTTCTGCATTCAAAATCCTGCCTGTCTGCCCATTTTTAATTTTTACCTAAAGTTCCACTCTAAATTGGTTATAAAGTCAAAATGTTTTGCATTCCCAGCATTAAGGTAAAAACTTTTCTATCCACAAGGCAGGTCACCTCCAGCTGTTTGAGAACACACGTAAGCACATGAATATGAAAATATAGGTATGCAAGAATGCAGCTTTGAATAGTCTAATAAATCATTACGCAAAATTCCTGTGCCAGCAACTAAGGATGTAAAGGGCAAGGACATGCCGGCCATGTACCTAGCTATTTATGGATTGCTAAAAAGTGACCTATACAGGAAAGACAGACAGATGAAACCAGACAGATTAATATAAAGAAAGGCAAACATACTACCATTGGGTTAAAGGGAAAATGTAGTATATTTGTCAGGGAGTTTATTTTTGGAGCAATATACTGTATGTATGTAGAACTACCCCCTTAGGAATCGCTGAGTTACACGGGCTCCCTGTCACTCTGGACCCTCTCTGAAAGCCCAACCCCTGCTGACACCACAGTACTCTTCTGACCAGAGTAAGTTATCATCAACAAATAAACTTGTACACAGATTAGAGTGAGCTGATATGTTTATATTAAACTTGACTGCAAGCTTGGTAAAACAGCATAAAGTGGTATATGTGTACATAATGACAAGTACTACTCTTAGCAACTCTAAGCAAAGGAAATAACATATACAACAAAATCTCAATCAGTCTTGGCAGGCCTGCAATTTAGCAGCTAACCCAGAACCTCAAACCTGAGGAGTCTCTAGTCCTCAGTGAGAAAAGAAAACTATCAAAGGTTGAACTACCTCACTTTGGGCCCTCAGGATCTGATGGCAAGGTTTAAATCTGGGATAGAAAAGAGCTCTTTAATTAGGGTAGCAAACGTCCCTTTAAATACACTGAGGAACCTTCTGTGCGCTTGTTGAGGCCCAGTTGGTGCAGTAAACAGTCCCTCAAAGGATTAATGCAAGGGAAGAAAAGGAAAGGACAAGACCATCCCTCTGAGTGGCACTTGACTTGGATAATGTCTCTTTAACCGCCTCCCGCCCGCCATATAGTCCAATGACGGACGCAAGGCGGTTCTCTCGTTCAGAGAGGACGTCATATGACGTCCTCCTATTCTCACCACGCATGCGCGGCTCCGGGAGCGCGCAGCGTGGCAATCGGTAATGCGCTATGTCCCTCTGACACAGCGGATCACCGATCCACGGAAAAAGCTGAAGATGTCGGCTCGGTCATGTGATCAGCTGTGTCCAATCACAGCTGATTGCATGTAAACAGGGAAATGCCGGTTATCGGCATTTCTCTCCTCACGAGCTGTCACGCTGACAGCTCGTGAGGAGAGACGGTAATCGGCATTCCTCGGAGGGGACATGTGCACTGATCATCAGGGCACTGATGATCAGTGTAGCCCCAGCAGTGCCACCTGCCAGTGCCCATCAGTGCCACATATCAGTGCCTACAAGTGCACGATGCCACATATCAGTGCCCATCTGAGCTGCCTTTCAGTGTCACCCATCAGTGCCAGTCAGTGCCACCTATCAATGCCAATCAGTGCCGCCTATCAGTGCCGCCTAACAGTGCCAGTCAGTGCCGCCTATCAGTGCCAGTCAGTGCCGCCTATCAGTGCCCATCAGTGATGCCTGTCGATGCCCATCAGTGCCACCTACCAGTGCCTCTTCAACAGTGCCACCTATTTGTGTCCATCAGCGCAGCCTATCAGTGCCCATCAGTGCAGCCTCATTAGCGCACATCAGTGAAGGAGAAAAATCACTTATTTACAAAATTTTATAACAAAAACTAAGAAAAAAAGTTTTTTTTTTCAAACTTTTCAGTGGTTTTGGTTTAAGAAAAAATAAAAAACCCAGAAGTGATTAAATACCACCAAAATAAAGCTCTATCGGTCACAAAAAAATGATAAAAATTTCATATGGGTACAGTGTTGCATGACCGCGCAATTGTCATTCAAAGTGTGACAGCGCTGAAAGCTGGAAATTGGCCTGGGCAGGAAGGGGTAAAAGTGCCCTGTAGGCTAGTGGGTAATGCACTGAGCAGGTTCCAAATTCTAACCAAAAAGGTGGCAGAAGTTGGCAGAGGTACTTGATGGCAAAGGGCAATTCCTCTTTGGGCTGCAGTAACTAATGGCAATGGTGGTAGCGGTTATTTTAAGAGAACAGGCCAATGGTTAAGGGGACAATGATGAGGTTCGGCCTGCAGAAGGTCAGTTCTGATGCTTTAACTATGCTGCAAATGTGTTCAATAGTAGCAACTGGGGGAACTAGGCCACAACACGTGTTAACTACAGTATATGCAATGTCTGCAACTGTGTGCAGGAAAGTGACCGATTGGAAATGAGTGTCAGTGTTCATTTGTTTGGCTGGTGTATAGGGCTCTCCCCCCCCAACCTGTGGCTTCCAGCAGGTCCTGGCGGTCTCTCTCTCAGCAGATGAGGGCGCTCAGTGGTTTTCCGATCCCCATTGCAGCACTCATTCCGGTCACAGCACTCTGAGTCACCTGCCGACAGGATGTCTCTCTCTCTCTCTAGGCTGAAAATGCTGGTGGTCAGTGATTCCACCTGTCTCTTCTTCTCTCTACCTCCGCAGCCTGGTCCGGTACTTTGACGCCCACACAGCTCTCTCCTCTCTCATTTCCTGTTCAATCGCCTGAGCTTCTGTATATATAAGTCCCCGCCCCATGCCATCAATGTCCTCAGAAACTCCACTCTCTAACAAAGTCCTGCGATGCAGCATACAAAGTCCATGAGGCTTTTTTTCCTCTCAGGGTGAGTGTGCCACTGAGCTGCAGTACACTGCCATCTTGTGTCTGTTTCAACATCCTGCAACTGACATTGCAGTAGGGTGTTACACGTATTTAATCTGTGTATTTAACAATTTGCCTGGAGTTTAGCTTTTGGCTGATAATAGTTAAGCCCCAATTTCAATGTTATTGTGCAGAGAACACATGTACTATGTGCACACATGCTTCCTTCTCACCACATACCCATTGCAGGCCCTGATTATTAAAGCATGAATCATTACACATTAGTAGGATTTGATCTGCCACCAGGCAGATTATTTAATTAAGTCACAACATTGTGAAAAAACAAATCAGGTAAATCACATCAGTACAATGTTTACAGAATTTGAGCTTTAAAAATAGATTTGTTGTGTTTTTTCTGACGGTTATGACTAGGGTGATTGATTTACTTGATATTTTCCCAATAAAACAGCAATGTTCCAAAGTCAGCTTTGGCTGTTTATCTTATTAAACAGTAAGCTGTAAGAGATTTAAAAGTAAAATGTGACTAGAGAGACAAAGTATGCTTGGCCTGTGTAGATGATTACATTCAGAGTTTGAATAATGATAATGGAGCTATCTGCTCAGAACAGTAAATTACAAAGCAGCAGCAGCAGTCAGTTCAAGAATGAACTCCAAAGGCTGCCATGTACAAGGACATATGAACAGCACTTGATAATGTACCCCATCCCTGTTCAAGCTCTGTGCAACCGAGAGCCACTACAACTTTTCTGGCTGATTTGGGGCCTGTATTACTTACAGAGGAAAACTAGTAAGACACCTGTCACACACCCACACATAACCCATTAATCCCAATAAAAATGCACTGTCTCTTTAAAGCAGTAGTAAATTCTACAATAAAAATTGGGCTCCTGAATGGTTTATGTGATAATGTGCTAGTATGCACCCCATATTAGCACATTATGACAGAGTTACCCTAAAACAAAGCCCTGCAGTGGCGTGTTATCACCACTGTCGACGCTTATATCTGCACCGGGTCTTTCTTAGGGGTTAGCGCTCTCCGGCCATTTAAATGGCAGGGTTGCGATGATATCACTTCCGTGCATGCACATGGGAGTCATGGCCACGGCACATCGCGCTCAATGGACAGCATACTCCAGTGTGCAGTTCATTCGGAGCGCAGTGTACATGACGTCACAGGCCACTACAAATATGAATACCACCTAAACGGTACACATAAAGGAGATATTCAGTGTACCTACAAGGTAAGCCTTATTATAGGTACAAGTACGAAAGCAGAGTTTACTACCATGTTAACCACTTCAACTCCAAGAAGGTTTTACCCGCTCCATGACCAGGTCATTTTTTGCCATTTAGCACTGCGCTTCTTTAACTGGCAATTGTGCGGTCACGCAACACTTGCACAAATAGAGCTTTCTTTTAGTGGTATTTGATCACCACTAGGTTTTTTTATTTGTTTATTATGTAAATGAAAAAAAAATTTTTTTTGAAAAAAAAAATCAATATTTTTTACTTTCAGCCAGAAAACATATATAATAATTTTTTCAAAATTAAATTTCTTAATAAATTTAGGCCAAAATGAATTCTGCTAAACGTCTTTGGTAAAAAAAAAAATCACAGAAAATGTATATTAATTGGTTTGCATGAACGTTATAGCGGCTACAAACGAAGGTATATATGCTGGATTTTTTTTTTATACTACTAATGGTGGTGATCAGTGACTTATAGTGGAACTTTGATTGCAGCAGGCAATTTGACACTGAAATCACCAGTGACAATAATACAGTGATCAGTGACAATGCTTATACATTGTCACTGTACTAATGTCACTGGCTTGAAATGGGTTAATATCTCGGGCAATTAAGGGGTTAAGTGTGTGCCTAACAAGTGTTCATCTGTGTAATGTATGCTGCTTTTTACCAAAAATCTCTGATTCTTCTCCCTGCTTTGCAGGGAGAAGGAACAGAGAGATTGTTCCCTCTGATTGTTAACACAAGGCTAATCAGCATGTCCTGGCCATGAATCATTGCCAAGACCCGCTGACAAACTCCTGCTGTATACAATAACAGCGCCCTGTACCCGGAAGAAGCCATCAGGCTATATACCTGGATAAGGTAAGCTGGAGTTCTGACTCGTGAGATGCCTATTTTATCTGTTTTTTATGTGAGTATTTCTATCCTTTTGTTGCAATAAATTAGTTTACATAGATTACTAGTCATCGTATTTTTTATTTTCATGCCATTTATGTCACTTTGGAGTGGAATCGGCATTGTGGAGGAGAAACGATTGGAGGCAGATTACAATGAGGCACCCATCTGGGAATTAAGGTATTTAGACCTCTTGGGAAACTCTGAGGTCAAGTACGGAGGTGAGCATATTCATATATCACTGGGTGGAATGTATGGGACACCAAGAGAAGGATCACCTGAAATATAGAGGATTCGGTCACTGTAGATCATCACTGGATTTATAGTGTTTTGAAGCACTGAATGGTGTGTTTGGACTTTTTTCACTACATGTAGACTTATATTCACAGAAACACTTGGAAGTCACTAATGTGATTGAATTATATGTGTTTAATCTTTTGTTCATGTATTATAAGATATTGTTTATTTTGGGCAGCACTGCACAAGTTTATATATAGAACTAAGGACACACTTTTTATTTTCCCATTTTGGACAGCGTATGGGAGGGTTATAGCCCTGTAAGCTTTATTTTTACTATCTGTGTCCCATTTGGGAGATTTCCCTTCACTTCTTGGCTCATAGCCAAAGCATGAAGTGAGAGAAAATCCATCTAAAGTGAGAGAATCCTTGGTTGCCACCAGAACCATTGTCTCCATTGGAAGCTATTCCCACTATTCCTGTTCTGGGGACTCTCTTTTGCTTTCACTTTCGGTGATAATGATAAACAGAACTTAATAGAGGGGGTGAATTTCTCTAATACAGGACACAGAAATAAAATTGTGACAGGTGTTCTAAGCCCTCTCCACTATCCAAAACAAAAAATAAATTGCATTTAGTTCTACTTTAAAGATAAACTTCAGGCAAACATCTAAATACACAAATACACATAAGGCCTCCTTTACATAAATGACAGAGGGCTGGTGAAAACAGGCAATTGATCCGCATCTTCACCGGCCACTGGGAGGGCATGCTACTACACACTGCATAGTAAAATATACAATATATATATATATATATATATATATATATATATACACACACACACAGTTGTGTTAAAAATAATAGCAGTCAGACATCACTAACCTGATCAATCACTGTTTTTGGTAGAAATGATAATTCTACATGGCAAATAATTTATTAGCAGGTATAGTACACTGACTATTTTTAATCCTTATGCTGCTAACATTAGTAAATAGTGTTTGGCACTTATCATTACCTGATCATTTTGTTGTAAGGAGAGTTCATGGCCTTTGTGTATATTATATACTACAAATATCCAAAGACTCAACATACAGTCAGGTCCATAAATATTGGGACATCGACACAATTCTAACATTTTTGGCTCTATACACCACCACAATAGATGTGAAATGAAATGAACAAGATGTGCTTTAACTGCAGACTGTCAGCTTTAATTTGAGGGTATTTACATTCAAATCAGGTGAACGGTGTAGGAATTACAACAGTTTGCATATGTGCCTCCCACTTGTTAAGGGGCCAAAAGTAATGGGACAATTCTCTTCTCAGCTGTTCCATGGCCAGGTGTGTGTTATTCCCTTATTATCCCAATTACAATGAGCAGATAAAAGGTCCAGAGTTCATTTCAAGTGTGCTATTTGCATTTGGAATCTGTTGCTGTCAACTCTCAAGATGAGATCCAAAGAGCTGTCACTATCAGTGA